GCGGCTCGTCCTTCTTTTTCCCTTTTATTTTAAAACTCGATGTCATCTGTTAAACTGTGGACACAAACTTTTAAATGCACTTCTCATGGGCTGTGTAAAGTCACTGCTGTGTATGTGTACATCGCTGTTATCATTGTAACATGCATCAGTGAGCTTTTATTTCTTGTGATCAGTCTAATCCGTCACCACATTGTCTGTCCTGGCTGCTGTAGGTGATGGTGACCAATGTAACATCCCTCCTGAAGACAGTGAAGGCAGTGGAGGATGAAGCCACAAAGGGGACCAGAGCATTGGAGGCCACGATTGAACACATCAAACAGGAGTTGGCTGTGAGTAATTACACTCTTTAAATTGAACTGTTGTGCTGTCAATTTATTGGTCAACATTTGGAATAAATGTTTGTTTACTACTCCAACCAGTAGATGCCTATTACCAACTGAAATCAGAAGCAGGATTCATTTAGAATTTAGATCCTGTAGCATAAAATTAACTTGATTGTTGAGTGAAAGAACTGATATACAGTAATTTTTTAAGTATCAAGTATTTTACTGACAGTCCCCCTGCTTTTACCACACAGGTGTTCAGCAGTTCTGACCCACCACCAAAGACGACTACACCAGAGGAGTTCATCCGCATGACTAAAGGAATCACTATGGCAACGGCAAAGGCAGTGGCTGCTGGCAACTCTTGTCGTCAGGAAGACATCATTGCCACGGCCAATCTCAGCAGAAGGGCTATCGCTGACATGCTGCACTCCTGCAAGGTACACAGGAGGTCCATGATACACTGCTGCCTAGTGATACACTGAAAGAACCCGTCGTCATGCCTAAATCAAGGATAAGTTAAAGCCCCACTCCAGTCAAAAACTAGCATTTCTTTTTGTTCCTACAGTGTGATGTTTGCACATAAATCATTCAGCACAGTGAAGATCAGAGTTTGACACTTATGTTTTCACATTCAAATGCTGCAAGTGGAAAGTTTCTCTGTGCTCCTTAAAAATCAGATTTTAGGATTATTTTTTTTTTAAGGATTAAACATTTTTTATACGAGAAAAAATGTATCAAACACACATTATTGTTCCAAGCACACTATTTGTATATACACAGATACAACCCCATACCAACAAACTGTGACACACTGTGTGTTCTGACACCTTTCTATCAGAACCAGCATTAACTGTTTGAGCTACAGTAGCTCGTCTGTTAGATCGGACCACATGGGCCAGCCTTGGTAAATGTGATCTTCAAATTTTAGATCTTGAATACTTGAGATCAAATATTATTAAGAAACAAAAACAAAAATTAACTGTCTTTGAATACTTGAAATATTGGAACATTTAGATATTAAGATAAATGTTTCTGGATTAATAGCCCCACTTACCAACTGGATTTTACATTACTGTAGTGTTTTATAGTGTAAAGTATTTTTTTAACTTCTCTCCCATGTTTGGTACAAATTTACCTTGGACAAATTCAGTCAGGTTGTTAGGTTGTAAATCTATGTATTGGTCCATATCAAAAATGCCATTCGCTAATGTTTCTTATGGAAGAGGGTTAGGGTTAGGGTTACAACATTCAAAATGGCTTACTGCCTATACTGTTGGTGGTTGATTTCTGTCTGCTCTTTCAGGAAGCGGCCTACCATCCTGAGGTCAGCAAGGACGTCCAGATGAGAGCCCTGCGCTACGGCAATGAATGTGCTGTTGGATATCTGGGATTGCTGGAGCATGTACTGGTGGTAAGACATCATTACCCACATGCACGAATATACACACACACACACGCACATATTTCTTGTGGCTATCATTTCCTTCATAGTAACAAATAAGAAATACGATTTGCGTTTGCAGTGCAAGGGTTTACAGCATGATGGCTGTATGCTTCTAAACCTTTCCTCTATGTCTGATATCACCTGTCATGTGTTTGATGACCTCCTTTCTTTCCTTTTCCCAACACTCTTCTGTCTGTCAATGTTCCTTTAAACTTGTGGCTCACTGATGTTGGTGTAAGCCGGTGAGTACACTGCACTCCTGACCTGCACAAGTGTGGGGTTTCATTGGTTGAAAGCTTCGCTGGACGTGTTTTAACATAATCTTGTCATAATCATATGATCTGTTTTGGTATTGTCTTTGGTTGTTTTAGTGACTTCTCAGTCAGGTGCAGTAAAGGAAGTTCCACCCTCCGTGCGTTTTTTTGCATTGTGTTTCATAATAGGGCTGCAACTAACAATTTGTATTACTTTTATTAATCATAATAAGTCATTTTCTCGATTAATCAATTGGTAATAAAATGTCAGAAAATGGTGACAAATGTTTTCACGTCACGTTTTCTGTTATTCTGAGCATGAACTTCACTCACAAATTTAGTGATAGATTTACAATGAACAAAATTTAAATAACTGAACAGCACATACATTTCAAGTACACAATCACATTATCTTCAGAGAATTATATCCCATAAGGACCAGTGTGTAGGATTTAGGGTGTAGTGGTGTTGTTTAGGGCTGTAACTGTTCTGAAACCGAGACCGAAATCGCGACACAAAAGTCCACGGTCTCGTGTCGCGGATCCGAGAGA